CCTTGGCCGTACAGCAGTGTTGTTGTTGTTTTCCTCTCTGGTGAATTTTATTCCTTGGAAGATGTTGTTGATGGTTTCATGTGTCTTCTCTAGTTGTTCCTTTTCTATTATGATGAAGGGGTCATCTACACACCGGATCCATACTTTGGGTTGTGTGCGTGGCAGTGCTATGGTTCTTAGGCATTGCATTACAATCTCTGCTATGAAACTGGCAGGGCAAGCGACTGTACATAAACAGGGAGCAAACCCCACCTTCCCTCCCTCGCACTAATGTTGTGACCTAGTTGGGTAATGAAACGTCTGCGAGCAAACCACCCAGCTCAGAGAGCACCAAGGACTCCACAGTTCAAGCCATGAGCTATACATATATTCTCTTTTATTGGAATCTTTGTTCAGCTGATGCTTCTTAGAGAGAGTGGTTGGCAGTTCACTGGAAACAGAGATCCTGCAGGAAGCCCCAGGTAGGTTGCTCTGTTTCAGTTAAAGGCTGCTTTGCAAAACCTGCTCTTGCACAGTCTATGCAGCAGCTCAAGTTTCTTACTAGATCCAGACACCTCACAGTAAACTTGCTAGAGATGTTAGAGGAACTTTCATCGTTCAGCCTAGCGATATGGATAGATTCCTGTTTTCTGGAATTATGTCTTGCAGGCTGCATCACCTGATGTTCTGTGCAGCTGGTTTTCCTCATGGAATAAACCCTAAACCAAAGGCTCCTTGTTTGTCCATCATCTTTGGCCAACACAGCCTTGTTTAATGTTAAGCTTCGTGCTTGGAAACAGAGTCCCAGCAAAATTTTGCTGACTTTGCAAACCCTTTCTTCACATCAAGAGCCTCTGTGTACAGTTCCAGGGACTGCCTTTTGGCCAGTCTTCAGGGTCAGCATGCTGGTTTCCCTCTTCCTTGATGGGGCAAAAATTACTTGTCCCCAATAACGTGTGAGCAAGGCTTGCAGGTTTCCCTCAGGTTTGATCTGGGCCTGCAGAGAACAGATATCTTGAATGCCACCATGGAAACTGCAGAAAGGGAGTCTTGTGTGGCTGATATCTGTTGTCTGGGAGGTTCTGCACCGGTGCCCACCACTCTTATTTGGGAGAAACTCATTTCTGTCCCCTGACTCTGCACGGCACCAGAGACAGATGATTGCAAAAGCTGCAAGCCTGGAGAAATGAGGGGAAGACCTAAGTCCTGGCTTGTCTCTTGATGGAGTGAAGTGGGCTAAACAGAGACCAAGCATTTGGCCAGGGACACACCGCCATCCATTATAAAGGCCATTTCCTTCCTCTTCAGGTGGTGTGGTGCTCATCTCGGGAACTGGCTCCAACTGCAAGCTCATCAATCCTGATGGCTCTCAGATCAGCTGTGGAGGATGGGGCCACATGATGGGCGATGAAGGGTCAGGTGAGGAAATAGTCTGTGGACCAGAATCTTCCTAACATATAAGCTTGCAGTTGGCTTCTGAGATTGCAAGTCCAGTCATCTGCTCTCCTGACATGGTCAGATTTGCTGGGGCAGCAAAACCTCTTGGATCCACAGAGGACTTCTGAGAGATACAGACCTTCCCCAATACCCAGCTTACTGCACAGCCTTTGGGCCAGATCCTGTAATCCTTGCCATATCACTTGATGGTGACACGTGAGGTCCAGAGACTTCTTTTGATCTCCCTCCAGGTCTCCCTTGCATGACACTTGGGCTTTCTGTGTAGGTGGAACAAGGACCCACAGTGCCTGGGGATGTGGCCAACACCTAGAGCCCATGCTCTGGAGATCCCCAGAGAACTTTGGGATCTATTGGCTATTTTGTTCAAAATATAGATAGAGTGGCAGCTAATTTTGCCATTTTCCCTTTTCCTGTGTCAGTAAATTTGAATAGTTCCTATAGCTATGGGTAAAAATAGCAAGGAAATCAGTCTGCTGGACAACCTGCTGGCTGCCAAGCTAAGCTTTGCCACTCTTGCTGGATGAGTCGTAATTCCAGCAGGATGGTTTTAGGGAGATTCCTCACAATGTGCACCACTGGAGACATCGATCAGTGGGAGAGCCCAGTCCAAGCTAACTTTCTATAGGGTTGCACAGGACTTTGGGTATCATGATGGAGAAGTCTGGTTGCGTGTCTGGGCTGACACATGCTCCAGATTTATCCCCTAATAGAATCTGGGTCAATTTTATTGAATTGCCACATGCTGAAACGGTAATACAGCGATCCCCCAGGGCAGAGGAAAAGTGCCTTTGAGATTAAGGGAGTGGCCACCAATCATCATCTGTTCTATCTAGGCATGTGGGACAGTAGCTTCCTTGGGAAATCAGTGTGCTGGGTTTTGTGCGTTGTGTGGAGGGGGACCAAGGCAAACTCCAGCCCCCAGATTGACCACCTCTTTTGGTGTCTGGCAGCTTATTGGATTGCCCACCAGGCTGTGAAGATTGTATTTGATGGCTTGGACAACCTGGAGGTCCCCCCACATGACATCAGCTATGTCAAGCAGGCTATGTTTGACTACTTCCAGGTAGGTGGCTGGTCCATCACAAACCAGACCTTAGCTTCACACTCTTCTGATGTGTGACTCGTGTCTGTGGGAGGGGAGGGACAGACTGAGGTCATAGGTTGGCTGAAGTGGGAAAGAAAGAATGGACGCTATTGCACGTGAAGTCTCCCGTGCTGGAATGCTGTAAATGCCCCAAGGGTGATGCTATGCTGTGGGGCTTGTGCAGGAGGCATTCCTGCTACGTGGTGCCCAAGGAATGGCTGGATCTGCCTTTCACTCTGCTTCTGACTCCAGAGGAGACGTGCATGAGGCCATTCTGGAGGACATCTGTAGGGTTTCTGTGCTTCAAGGAAAGACTTCAAAGCTTCTGAGCATCTCTGGAGAGTGATATCTAATTGGTTTGCATCTCAATACACAATTCATCATCATCATCATTATTATTAGTAGTAGTAGTAGTAGTAGTATTTTGTATACACAACAACGTGAAATCACAGCTGCCAGTTCTTTAGCTGGTGTTGGCCTTCATTCGCATCAAGTTTTTCTGTGCTTCAAGGAAAGACTTCAAAGCTTCTGAGCATCTCTGGAGAGTGATATCTAATTGGTTCGCATCTCAATACACAATTCATCATCATCATCATTATTATTAGTAGAAGTAGTAGTAGTATTTTGTATACACAACAACGTGAAATCACAGCTGCCAGTTCTTTAGCTGGTGTTGGCCTTCATTCGCATCAAGTTCTACCCAAGAACCAGATGTCGTAATATATCAGTGTAGTATATGCGCAGATCCAAGCAGTGTGGCCTTTTGTAATTGACAGATGGAAATTTTGTCAATGGCAGATTTTCTAAGTGCTGTCCAAGGCTTTTTGGTATGGCATCCAGTGTGGTTTATGCCCTGATCTCTCCACTTCGGTTTTCAGCTCTTCCTGCTTTACGATCTTCTCCAGTCTACTCTCCCCTGGTGTTGCCACATCAATTATCCACACTTTCTTCTTTTCAACCAGAGTTAAATCTGGTGTGTCATGCGCCAACACTTTATCAGTTTGTATTTGGAAATCCCACAGTATTTTAACTTGCTTATTTCTGACTACTTTTTCAACTGTATGTTCCACCAATTTTCATTTCTGGCAGATGATCATTTTTACAGATGTTCCAGTGAATCATTTTAGTGACTGTGTTATGTCGTTGTTTATAGTAAGTTTGTGCAATCTTCTTGCATGAGCTGAGTACATGATCTACTGTTTCTTCTACTTCTTTGCACAACCTGTACTTTGAATCATTTGATGATTTTTCGGTTCTGGCCTTGATTGCATTAGTTTGAATAGTTTGCTCTTGAGCAGCCAAAATCAAGCCTTCGGTTACTTTTTTAATGTTCCAGTTATAAGCCATTGCCAGGTTCCACCTTTATCCACTTTACACTTGATCTTTTATAGAAATTGACCTCGTAATGCCTTTGCTTGGCAGCATTGTGTTCGTGTTTTTATTACATTATTTCGATATTCACATTTTGTTTCCTGTACATTCAGTAAATTCCAATTTTAACTTGCATCAGGGCTTGTTCTTGACTGTCTTCTACATAATCAGCCAATGCATGCTTTTCTTCTTTGACAGTTTGTCCGATTTGAAGTAGACCTCTGCCTCTACAGTCTGAGCTACTTTGGGCAAGGCTTTGGTTTTTGCTGAAACCAATTATTACTATCGTTATTGTTGTGGGTCGCACAGTCAGTCAGATGTTTAGATTGGGTTTGGCCATTTTGTCCCCCTGTTGGGTCCTTCCCAAGGACCTGGGAGAGGCAGGTGTCGTTGTTTGACGGGGTTAAAGGTATTTGTCACAGGATGTGAGCTGTTCCAAGTAAAGCTGCCTTTTGCAACGGACTGATGGTGATTTTGTCCATGCCAGTTATTATTCTTATTCTTATTATTACACTGTGTTTGGGGTTTGGGTTGGCTCTGGAAAAAGCAAAGAAAGAAAAGAGCATTTTCCTCCTTCCTTTACATTTTCATGACCAGACAGGAGATCACTGCTGATGAAAAACAAAAGTACCAGGCCGCAACTGTGCTCATGGATGCGCAGCATTAAAAATGCTTTCATGTACTAGAGGAACAGCAAGGATGCAGCTCTTTCTCTGCCTGCCATCTGCGGGGAAGAGGATCAAGAGCCTCTAGCCTGGCCCTCAGCCCGCAACACAAATACTCGCCAAGAGCTAGGAAGACAGAGTATCTTGCGGAAGTCCTCGGGGCCAAAGGCAGGGCAGGGCAGGGCAGGGCTGACCAAATGACTCCGGTAATTTTAGGTGTTCCTTATTTCGACAGGTTTCCGACAGAATGGGGCTCCTGACTCACCTCTACAGGACCTTTGAGAAGTCAAAGTTCGCAGGGTTCTGCCAGAGGCTGGCCGAAGGTAGGGCCCGCAGGTAGAGGCGGTGGATTGCTGTGGGAAGTCAGGAAAACCGCGGGCGCCCTTCCCAGGCAGATCCCGAGTCAAGCTCTGGTGCCGTGCTAAGCTTTGGCTTTAAGTGTGGGGTGGTTGCAGCTGATGGCGATTTGCAAGCATGGTTTAATTATGCAAACCCAGGCAACTCTGGTTTTTGCTTTGTTTATTGAATAAACACAGCCATCAGTCAGATTAAAACATTACAAAGAGGAGCCAAATATTTAGAAAAGCAAAATTTTGGGGTTTTTTTTTCCCCTTTCAAGAAAGCATGGGTAGATCAGCTTTGACTTAGCACAGTGCGTGAACAAGACCCACATGCTTGCGGGGCATGGCTTGCTACACGGCTGGCTTTGGGAATTCAACCTGGAGGTTAAGATTTCTGGAGCTCCTGAAGAGGAGGGAGCAGGAACGTCACACCGTTTCCCTGGCATTGGACAGGAGGGAGCCAGCTGCGTTGCACTTGAGACGCTGGCATGCAAGCACTGGTTCAGCTTTGGCAGGGCTTGAACATTGCAATCTGTTGGCTTCCAGCTCAGCTTGAAATATGTCCCCCTCCAGGGGGTCCTGGTTACCACACTCTTAGCTCTGCTGTGCCCTTTTCGGTGTTAGGAGCAGCAGTGGGGGGTGCACACAAGCAAGACTGTGCCTAGAAGCCCTCAGGGCTTGAACAGTGAGACGTACATGTCAGTGAACCGTAGTCTAGGCTAGAGTCTCTCAACCTTGGCAACTTTAAGAGGTGTGGACTTCAGCTCCCAGAATTCCCCAGCCTGCTGGCTGGGGAATTCTGGGAGTTGAAGTCCACACCTCTTAAAGTTGCCAAGGTTGAGACACACTGATCTAGGCTGTCAAGAAGGAAAATCATACTTCTGTTGTGAAAGTGACAGGGCACCCCCAATGCTGGAGACCCCCTTGTGATGCTGTTCAGCTTCAAAAGTCTTGTTAGTTTGGCTGGCTCCCAGATATTCTGACGCAGTCCCAGTGAAGACTACACCTAGATTTTTTATTTTGGATTTATCCGAATCACATGTGTGAGTGAGAAAGAAGCTTCTGGGAGGTACGTTTAAGCTCATGTGCATGTACATTTTCAAATAATTTCTAAGTTGATTGTTTAGTTCTGTCCAAACTGCAGTAATGTTGATTGTTTGAAACTACTTGGGAACAACAAAAATACGTTGTGTGTACACACACAGACACACCTATAAATTTGTTATTTTCTGGATGGACCTTCAAAGAGCAATACATTTCACTGAAAGAAAGCCAGCCGTGCAGTATAGCTCCATCGTTAAACCCAAGTCAACAGGTCAGCTCTTGCTTGGGAGACGCGCAAGTGTCCTCAGCCAAAAGTGGGGGAGAGTCATCACCCCTGAAGGACACCAGAGGTACAGAAACCTGAAGTTGCCACCAGAGAGCACCCAGTGCCCCAGACGTTGGGGATGGTGTCTCAGTCCTCGCCAGGAAAGTTTTGCGGGCTGGGCACCCGAGTAGCAAAGCACCCGGGTTGCCAGTGAGCCCTGCTAGCTTTTCCTCTAATTGTGCTTTGCCATTGCAAAGATCTGAAGAAAATACTTTTCTTTCAAGAGCCATGTGGAATCTGATGGGACTGAGAGCAGGACACAGAACCTGTGTCAGTGAAGCTCATGGGGCGAGGCGGGGCTCGTTGTGGTGACGAGGCGGGAGCGCAGCATGTGCCATCTTGATCTCTTTGCAGCAAAATTCCTGTAATCCAGATTGAATCGGGACTGTGTTAGGACACTGGACCACCCCGGGCTGGAGGGGGAGCTGACTGGATAGGTGAAATAAAGGATAAAACAGGTTCTCCGTCCCTCTGTAGGAGCCAAGGCTGGGGACCCCCTGTGCTGTTACATTTTCAGCAAGGCTGGAGAAGTCCTGGCACGACATATTGTAGCTGTGCTGCCAAAAATTGACAAGGTAACTCAGGCCAGGTTGGAAGGTGGCAAGAAAAGGCCTGGACTGAGGGCAGTTGCTGCTTCTCTTCCCTAGCACGCCATCCCAAACTTAAGTGTGGCCCAAGGAGGAGCCACATTGATACCGATCCTGGAACATAACTGGGGGGAGGAAGAGCGAGTTTCAAGGCTCCCCCAGTTTCTTTAGAAAAGAATGAGGACAGCTGAGGGCCCTTGCTGGCTTCTAGAGGGAAGTGCCTCCTTCTCCTGGGCCTGGACTCACCCATCACCCTGAGCCATGTGGCTTAGCATCTTGTATGAATCCAGCCAATTGTGGCTTATTTAACAGACCCTGACTTAGGATCCAAGAAAAAGGGCACCCGTTCTGTCTTGACCAGGGCAGTAACTTACATAAGACATACAGCCGTGGTGCAGAGGGAATTATCTCGCTCCTTGGCACGAAAGCCGCCTGCTTCTTGCCTCACCCTTCACAATGTTGCAGCCCTGGCAAATCTTACCTGGGAGTCTTTCTTAAGTGCGCCTGCCCTGGCTTAGCCGATCAAACCCTCTGAAAAAGGAGCACGAATGCCGAGGGAGGCCATTCTCCATGGGGCTGCTTTGACCGCATCTGCCCTGTACCTTTTGGTGTGCCTTGAAGGTGCATAATGCAGCCCTTCTGCTGAAGCCAAGCCCAGTGACACCCTGGGGGTGGGGGAGGGGGGAATCAGGCGTAACCAGCAGATCCTCAAAGCCTCCGGTGTTCGTGTCTTCCTCCAGGCCCTCCTGCAAGGTGACCCGGGACTGCCCATTGTGTGCGTTGGATCAGTGTGGAACAGCTGGGAGATGATGAAGGAAGGTGAGGAAGAGCAGGGGGGCCCCAACTGCAGCTATGCCAGCAAGCCAAAGCTGCTGCTGCTGCTGCTGCTGCTGCTGGGTCTCCCCAGAGGACTCAGATTAGGAGGAAGGTTAGCAGCTGCTTAAAAATCTAGACCTGCCCAGCGAAGTAGGCAGTGCAACAGAGGGGGTGGGGTCTTCCCTGCTGCTGTGGAGGTGGCTTGAGGCAGAAGATGGAGCCAGCCCCCCTCTCGAGCTGTCAGACAGTGAGAGCCTGGCAGGTCGTCTGATGGGAAGGATCCACCGGCTCTCTTCTCTTGTAGGGTTCATCCGGGTCCTTGACCAGGCCCACAGCGAGCACCTCAGCAGCGCCTTCTCCAAGTTCAGCCTCCTGAAGCTGAAGCAGTCCTCAGCACTGGGAGGGGCCAGCCTGGGGGCCAAGCACATCGGCCAGGCTGTCCCTCTGGACTACACAGCCAACGTGGACATCTTCTACACCCACTCCTTTGCCTAGAACCAGGCGCTATGCCATTCCAGGTTATCCTTTTTGGTGTTTCAGTGCGTGGACTGTCTTCTCTGCTTTGCAAGGAGCCCAGTTCGTATGAGCAGCTCACATAATGTCCTTTAACAAAAAGCTCAGTGTGGTCCCGGTGGCCACGTCGCACAGCACTGTGCCTGGGCAACGCAAACTTGGCTGGCAAGCTTTTACTCCTGCTCCCAAGGAGTCCAAGCAAGGGGGACGATGCCTGGCCACCTCTTGCCAACCTGAGACAGATGGTTCCTACCCCCCATCCCTGGCCTGAGCCAGCTGAGAAAGGCCATGCTTCTCTTGGGCAGATCAGACTGAAAGAGGAGCTCAGCAAACAACAGTCCCAGAGCTGTGGGGTTGCCGCCAGCTGGAGAGTCAACAAGTTCATCAGTGCAGGCCTGGCTGCTCTCCACTGTTTTGTTTCTTGACAAAAGCAAAGGCATTAGACACCCCACTGAGTAAAGCTGGGATCAACATTTTTAGATTAAAAGATGTTTCAAAACAGTCTTGTGTCACTTGCTCTCCCCTCCCCTCCCCTCCACTGGCTTGCTGTTTTTGCCTAGCTTCCCAGACCACCTGTAACTGCCATCATGCTGCCCAGCCAGCTGTCCCCTTGCTCTGAAATGGGGGCCTTGGCTAAAGGAAGCGTCTGCTGTACCCTGGTCCAGGCTGATTCTCCCTCAGCAGCAGCAGCCCGGCAGGCCCAAATTTGCTGCACAATTTGAAGATCCAAAAAGGCCCTTGGCACCACACCCAGCTCAAAATCCATTTATTGAAGAATGCATTATTGTAAAAATGGGCAGCACATAATTGCAAAGACTTCCTCAGAAAGAAACCAGAGCTTGCAGAGTGGAGGAGGGAAGGGCCTTGCACATCTGCTCTAATTGTTCCACAGATCACTCATCCAACAAGCCTGTCACAAGGCTAAAAAAATAAGCCCCGCTGCCCCACACATCTTTTCCAAAGCAGAATCCGGACCCATGCCTGTTCTCCCCAAACCACCAGGCACCGAGGGGGAAATGGGGCGGCTTTTCTGCTCCTGCCTGCGGCACTGAGGCTTCCTATGTCAATGTTTCCTGGAAGGAACTGGGGAAAGAGATCCCAATGTTGCCTCAGCCCTGCACAAGTTGCCGGGTCCCTTTCCCTGGAAAGAAGGCAGAGGCAGTCGGATCCCCTCAGAGCAGCTCCAAGCTCACGCTCACAGCACGGGAGCTGTGTGAAAGGAGCCTCGGGTACCTGTCCCCTGCCAGCACTTTCTATGGCAGCTGAGCTACAAGCCAAGCCCTGCCCTGCCCTGCCAGGGGCCATGCTGGTAGGGAGAGGCCAGACTGAGGAAGGCTGGCTTCAGCAAAGATTTGGGGGGGGTGAGGGAGGAGGAGGAACCACATTATTAAGCAGAGGAGGAAGCTGAGGTCTCACCTGCCCTCCTAACAAGCTTGTTTCCAGAAAGAGGTTCTGGGAATCAAGTTGGTGTGGCTGCACAAATGGAAGTTTGGATCATCCCAAAGAGAAAGCCAATTTTTTTTTTTTTTGGTGAACAAGCGGGAGGGAAATCTCTGCTTTAGGTGCACGCAACCTGGACTAGAGGCAGAGATTCTCGGGGTTGCCCCAACCCCTTTGGAGGGCTCTGGGTTGGGGAAGCCCTTCTGCTTGTCCAACAGGCCCATAAAAGGTCTCGCTGAGCTGGCATGGCTCGCCTCGTGTGGCCTACTTTTTCCCCACAGCACCTCCAACCTGCAGGAGCGCTCTCTGTAAAAGGTAGCTCAAGGAGGATAGAATATTCTTTACAGCTTGGGTAGGAGATCATGGGCTGGGCTTTGTTCCAATGGTAAGAAAGGCAGCTGCCACCTGCTTCCTTCACCCTCCGGGTCCAGGCCCTGGGGAGCCTTGTGCCCATCAGCTGAGCACCAGACCGTCCTTTTCACTGGAGGCGGCGGCAAGAGCAGGAAGAGAGCTGGCAGCCTCCCTCTGGGAAGGCAGGAAAAGGATGCGGCTTCTGCCTTCAAACCAAGATGCCCAGCGTGAAAGAGTGTGGTCTCTTGAGGGGAAATGATCAGCCAGCTCCCAGCCATGTTTCAGGGTTTGCTGCTTTTTTGGGGAAGAGGGAGGTTGAGAGGATGGGAGAAGAGACACGAGGACAGAAAATTATGGCAAGTGCTATGCCCAAGACCTTGCTCCAACGCTCAGCACCGCTTATAGGTTAACCTCTCCAGAAAATCCAGGACCCCCCTCTCTCCTCTGAAGGAGAACCCCAGGAGTTGGCAACCGGACGGAGGGAACATTCAAGCGAGCTCACACGTGCTCAGGCTGCTTGTCCTGAAACGCCAAAGGGGCTGGGCCCAGTTCGCGCGGAAGCCCCCGGCCCACCCAGAGGCAGCCTCCCTTGCTGGAAGAAGAATCGGCCTTGGCAAAAGCAAAGAGAGGAAGGGGCTGCTCCAAAGCTGGGAGAAGCATGAGGCGCAGGGTCTGGCCTGCCTGCTGTGCTTGAGAACTTCCACCGAGAAGAGGCTGCGGGGGCACCTTTGCCCACCCTGCAGCAAGGTCCCAAATCACGCTTGGGGAAGCAGCTAACCAAGGGGCGGTGGGGATGGGGGGATGGGCAGAAAATGCTGCTGGTGGTCAGGCTAGGCTTGTCTCTGTTTAACAGGAAACGGGGGTTAGGATGCCCATCCCTTTGTCCCATCCCACGGAGAGCATTATTTTTCTTCAGTTTGTTGCAAAATATCCCAACGCAGCAAGACAAGAGGGATTAAGTAGCTTAAGAGGCCCCCAATTCGCCAACAAAGAGCCTCTTTCCCACCACTGCTTGTGGGTCCCGCTCCCCCCACCCCATTTCCCCATCCATCCAGGGCAAAAAAAGTCTTTATGAAGTTTGCCTGAAGGCTCAGTACTTCACTCCAGGAACAAACTCCTTGGCGTCCGGGTTTAAGGTGCTTTTGCTCTGAAAACAGAAAAGGGGTGTGGGGGGGGGGGGGAGAAGAAAGGTCAGAGTCACAGAGGGTAAATATCAGGAGGCGTCCAGGAACACCTTTTCTGGCCAACCAATTTCCTTAAAAGGCAGAAGCTTCCATGAGCTGCAGCGCTCCATCCGATGCGTGGAGGGGCTGGGCTGATGTCAGATTTAAACTGGGGTGAGGGCATCATTCACCGCTCTGCCTCCGCCCACCCGATTCCTTACTTCCAGGGATGTATGTATTCAAGGCACTCGTGTTTTATCCTGCGTCTCAAAATCTCAGCTTCTTCCTCTCAAGCCCATACAGCTTTTTAAAATTCCCGTCTGTTTGCTCTACAAAACACTCTGGGCTAACATTTCACGCTCTGACCTCGCAGCTACCTTGGGACATGGGCTCTCCTGCCCTACTTTCATATGCAGGAAAAACAGACTGAGCAGCACCAGCATCTCTGTCCTCGACCTGTTTCTCGTCCAGGAAGTCAAGTCCTATGCAGCTGCCTCGAACTCTGCTTCAAACTTCCTGATCCAGCAGCTGAAGCCAGGTCAGCCCGGCTTCCACACACAGGAGAACTGTACCACGGAGCACCCCCTTGAGACCGTAACATTTGGGAGGCCCACACTGAGAGAGGTGCTCTCTCAAGCATTGGGTGTTACGCTGCTATGGCTATCAAATGTCATCCGAACTGGTACTGCACAAGCAATTACAGAAATCGCTTCAGGGCGGTCCTGTGTGACCTCTCGAGGGTGTTCCAGGAACAGCCTCGCTGCCCCCTTGTGCACCAGGTGCAGTTTTGGAGCTGCTTGAAAGGCCTCCCAGCGGTAGAAGGAGAACCACTGAAGGACAGCCAACTACCTGAGCAGGCGCCTGTGATCAATGGCGTGAAAAGCCAGCAGGAGGATGGGCTTCCTATCCATCCCTGGAGCAGCCCATCCGGAAGGGCAGTAAGCCTCCGGTCACACAGCCAGAAGAATTGAGGTGCTGCAGAACACAAGCATCTCACTGACCGTCCCACTTCAAGTCCTTTGCCTGAGAAGGAAGGATCTGCCCTGGGGTAGTCGTTCTCAAGTACCTCTGGGCCCAGGGACATTCCCTTAGGTAGGAGGAATCATCCCTGTGTGTCTTTTCAGGGCAAGAGGAACCACTCCCTGATGTAACAAGGCACTGACCCCACCTTGGACCCACACCTTCAGGCCTCCTCCACTAAGCTTACTGGCCAGGTAGGGCAAGGATTAAGACTACAGGCCAAATCCGAATTCAAATTTAGAATCCAAACATCCCGCCTGTCTCCTCAGAAACTGAAAAACCTCTCTCCCCAATACAGCTCCCACTGTGGCATTAACTCCTGCACAGATGTGATTTCCTCCCCAAAGGGCAAGTCAACTCATCACAGCAGATGACCAAGAGTTTAAGAGTGATGGCTGCTAGGCCAGTGGTGTCCAGGCTGGTTCTCTTTCATGTAACTTGAGGTGTAGTACTCCACATTAAAGAGAAAGCCACATAGCTAAGATACAGCAAGGTTCATCTATTTTCAGCCAAAGGGAGGGGGGCTCGGGAAAGTGTGCAGGATCAAACAGAAGGCAGCCGA